TGTCCTTTTGTTAATGGATTTATTTAATCTTTGCATGCCTCACAAATTAAGAGAATAATAACTATATATTTTTGTAATTAATTTACATTAAAAATATAATAATTGATTTTTATTTTAATATAATTAGCACGTGTAAAATTTTAATTGACTAACTAAATAAATGAAAGTTAAAATTTAATTTTTCATACAATTTAATTACAGAAAAGTGTAAACCATTTGTTAATAATCAATCATCAATAACAAATAGGCAATCATAATATTCATGCTTCGTAATTGATTATTGAGAGGCACTTATTGTGTGCTGTTAATTCCAACAATGACTTAATAATTCTTGCATTAACTTCGAGTAATTGAGATTTAATGGAAGGACTTAATCGAGGAGATGAAAAACATTTCAGGGACAATTGCATATTTTGGGAGCTGAATAAATGATAATTTTTTAACTTTTTCAAGAATATAAAGGACTGGTTGTTTTATCAATCCTAAATTTTGAAAAGAAATGATGTTAACTTATTGTAATGGAAGAAATTTAATAAAAGGAGAAACCAATTATGTAGGGATGATTGTTGTTAAGTCAATTATATATCCGAATTGCATATATTCATCTAATCAAATTTTATGCTTGCTTCATATATAATATAAAAATTAGTGCTTTAAAAAAAACACTCAAAACTATATCATTTCAATAAAGTAATGTAAAAAAATTTTTTTTTAAAAAGTCTTGCTTTAGAAAATTAAGATGTTTTAATTTATCTCAATAAAATATATTAAAATAATATAATTTTAAGATATTTTTTCAATTAATATTTTACAAGTTTGATCGGTAAACATTCTTTTCTTATAAATTTATTGAACAAGATGTGAATTAGAAGTGCTTACCAGTCATGTAATCGGTCACATTGTAATTTATATCTATATAGTGACGTGGGTGCCCTGCATAAGCAAAATTAGCCGATGGTGAGGAAAAACCAGTTAGGTACGGATGATTGTTGTTAAAAAATAATATTGTTTGCTAGTAGTGATCATTAGCATTTGGTTGGTGACAACAATTATATCTCTCAGTTGCATTGATTTAAATCAAACTAGCATTATCAAACCTGCTTGTTGGTTGTTGAGATGTATATTTATCTTTTAAAAGAAAAAAAAAATTATTATTAAAAATAAATAATAACATAAAATATATAAAAAATGTAATATACATAATTAGTTTATGAATATTATAATAAGTTTAAAAAATCTTTTAATACTCTATAATAAAAATATGTAAAA